GAAAGACCTCCTCGGACTCTTGGTGGGGGTGCTCAAGAGCCAGCATTTCCCGAACGAGTTCCTGCACCATGTTAGCGGGGACCGACGAGCGATTACGAGTATACTTCAAAACCAGGGGCCCAGGGTTCTTCCAATTGGTCTGGAGGCCAATTTCTTCCGTCGATCGACCCGCATGGACGGCCGCGTCAAGCATTGTGACTCTGGCCGAATGAGCAGTGAACTTCCCGATCGTGGCGGCCCACTCCCGCACTTTGCCGGCGGGGAAGTTTCGTGCCGGCACAAAACGCTCGAGAGCCGCCCTTGAGAGCACCTTTAACCATTGCACCGATCGTGCGTGCTCGGGAGGCTGATTCCGAAACTCTTCACGAGAGTTCAGGTCTGGCATCCAAAAGTCTCGATCGAGCGAGGGAGCATCAAAAAGGTCCCACCCGATCGCGAGCCACTCCACCCCCGATAAGCTGACGATCGGCACAACGAATTTCGTCCCCCTACGCTTACGTTCGACCTTGGTCTGCCAACTCACCCCAAACAACCCATCATCCGTAAACGCAAGCTCTTTGGGGGAAACATGGATTCCATCGTCGAAACGAAGGGAGGCGTAGATCAAACACAACCACCACCAAACAAACAACCGAGCGGCATCCGGAACGTCGTTAGCTGCAACATAAAGTTCCATGCATCGAACGACCTCCATCGGAACCGGAACCGCTTCTTTGAGCGTGGTGGCTCGATTCAGCACTACCTCCTTCTGGAGTGCCACGAGCTGCGCATCGTCCAGATCAGGACACTCAATTGCGAGCCGCGAGCTGACCCACCTGATCGAGGAGCGAACCGAAGGAATGACCGTGGGCCCACACTCCTGTTGGTCTAGCCAAAGGCAGTACTTGAGCACCTTGTCGAGCGAAAGGGGGTAGAGGGACAACCCTACCGATGCGGCCCAAAGCTCCCAGCGTTCCCACACGCGAACGTGAGCCGACATGGTCCGATGTGCTCCCGAAGTCAGAACGAGCTGCCTGAGTTTCGCTGTTTCAGTCGGTGTCAACTCCTGGTCGTCCGACTTTGGCTCGAACAGTTTCGCCCAATTCCCAGCTCTGCGACCGATCGCCTCTAAGCGAGCTGCCCACCTATGCCTCTCGGCCTGTTCCATGTCCAAGAGGGGTGTCGAACCCGAAGCGACCGACGGATCCGTCTTCAGTTTTCTGGGCACCTTCATCGGTTTCTGAACAAGTGCTTGGATCGCTGCCCGTTTCCTCAGCACGTCTGCGTCCGAGAGAGCTCTGTGAGCTTGAGCTCGCTCGCACAACCCAAACCCGAGCTGGGTTGTGGTCGACTCAAAGAACATCTTCTCGATCGCTCTAGCCACACCCCAAAACTGATCAAGCATCGCTGGTTCAGCCAACAGAGCTTCAGCGACCGAGCCGTCCATTGCCGAAGCCCATTCTGAGATTTTCTGGACAAACTCAGCCCCAGATTGAACTTCTATGGATGCAACCAGTGCCAAATTCGCGAGCGGCGACTTCACGAGCGCATCCGAAAAGCGAGCTGAGAAAATGGGAAGAGCGAGGACTTTCGAGACCCATCTATCAGTTGTTTGAGCCATCTAAATTGAACAAACAGACTCGAAATCTTCCATCACTCGAGCGATCTCTATATATTATCACTCCCCCCCCCCCAACCGGCATGAACCGAGCCCAGACTCAGAAGCTAGGTGCCTCTGAACCCACCAGCGCTCGAGCTCACGCGCGGGTCTTGGGAGCCGTGACCAATAGTTCACCCCGTCCAAACCTCAAGTTGCCGCCATCGATCGACACGAGTGGTTTGCACCAGGATGTGAACAGAAGGCCACAGAGTGAACACGTGTTGAACAACCCCTTTAAGTTGGACTACGAAGAGTGCAACGACCGACTCAAACATACAGCAAACACGAGCGTGAACATGCTGACACGTTTCGGTCAATCGAACTCAAAAAGGGAAATGACTCAACACTGTTACCACTCTAGAGCGCTGGTTAGAGCCAGGTGGGGCCCATGCATCGAGCTTGAACCGCTAGAGCAGGGCCCGTTGCAGACTCAGACACAGCACTCCGAGCTCCCGCGACTGAACAGGTTTGGCATGAGCCTGGGCCACAACACGATGCGCATGTTCGTGAGTTAGGGGCCCTTGATCAAGTCAACCCTCAACTCATGCACACGCGATCGAACGACTCTGCTCAGAGCGGAAAAGAAAAATGAGTCAAGGCAATTGATTCCAAAACCCTGACCAACCAAGGGCTCATTTCTTCCGACCTCTCGTGGCGCCGATCGACCGTCTCTGTGCCAAATCGAACGACGCAAGCGCCCTCCTGGGCAATTAGATCATAAAAAGCAAACGTGATCACGGGAATCAAACATCTGTGATCACTTCCTCGGCGGCCGGTCCAAAGGACGTAGGCACTCCTGGCTCAGCCGTGGCTGGAGTGATCGTCACAGTGGATGGGCGCTGAACACGAGGAGCGCTTTGACTCGGTAGCGCGCTCATCACGGCACGAGTCTGCTCAACAAAGAACTGTGGTGTCACAGCTGCATCAGCGAGCTGCTCACCCCTCCTCTGCTCGAGCGAGCGCCTTGGCGCAAAGAGCAGCTGTGCGTTCGGATCCATCGAGCTAGCTGCCTGGCCCGGAGAAGTCAGCGACATGCCGCCCTTCATGGCGGAGCCCACGATCACTGCCGAAGAATCCCTCGGCCCAGCGAGATCTCGCACCGGCTCCCACTTGGACTGCGCGACCGCGACCCCAGGAGTTCCGGCAGCTGGGGGCAGGATCATTGCCGCCCTCTCGGTGGCCGGGTCATGGTATTGGAGGGCGATCGCCTCCCTCGCCACAATCTTCTTCTCGGCCTTGAACAGGGGGGACTCGCACGTCAGGTGTAGATTGTCGGCATGAGAGCTCACATCTACAGCACCGATCCTCGGCCCGGTGTCCTCGATCGAGTCAGCTGTTACCCCAGCCGTCCAGTGTGCATGGATCCCCGCAATCTGGGACAATTGCAGGTCCTTCAACTCGTGCATAGTGATCTCGACACCACCGGGCGTTCTTCACGAGCGTAGGCCCCGACACTCGGGACACCACCAGCCAAGTCGCTGGGACAGCGAGCGTGCCACATGCCACATTGAGTCTGTCCTGAGCTGAGGTGAACCTGAAGACCGCCGTCAGCCGAATTTCAAAGTGGCAAAGAGGAAAGTCTAAGGCAAGAACTGCCCCCCCCTCGCCACAAGCATACAGCTGACCACCGACCTCGAACGAGACGGCGCAAACTCTCCACCCTTGGAAGATCACCACCGTGCACGAGGGAATGAACAACACCTCTTCGAGCGCCATGACGATCGCGTCGTTGATGTAGTTCAATTGTACCGTCATATCCTGATCGGACCGGTACCCCCGCAGCTCGAGGTGAAGGAGGAGCGCACCTTCGATCTTCACTTTCAGGTCGACCCAGGTCGCTGAATCGTCCCTCATGATGGGCCACCGGAAAGGCTGAAAAGCCTGGTGAGCCAAAACCTCCCCAGTCTGGGAGTCCCACCTGCCACATGGCACGGATCCGTAAGATATCATGGATCCCACGATGATCAACTTCTTGCCTTCCAGGGTCCTCATGTAGAACAGGTTCATGTGGTAGCCCGTGCTTGGACTGCGCACTTGACGAGCGTCCGAGAGCACGTTGACTCCTGCCTGTGCATTGATCAATATCTCGTCTAGGAGCCAACCCTGGAAGGGACTAGAGATCCTTTGGTCCCTTGTGTCAACCACCAGCACCGACCTCTCGCCACCGCCCGATCCGACTTGGCTGAGGTAGGGAGGGAGCACATTGCTGAGCGCGTTGTGGAGCCCACCCAGCTGGCCAAATCGAAGACCATGAGCTCCTTTCCTGGCGGCCCGAGCGGCTTGCTTCTGCAGCTTCCTGGATCCATATTGAGGGTTGGTTCCAGCAAGCAAGTTCTGAGCAGCTTGTGTTGCCGGAGCTGCCTTCGACACCGGCGGTTGGGGAGCCACGGCTGGCGCAGCTGTCTGCTGATCTGCCATCGTTCCTGAGTTTGAGGCTGGTGCAGACTTTGGGACAGGATCCTGTCCTTGTCGCGGTGTGGCTGGCTGAGCTTGAGCCACTGTTGGAATGCTCCGATTCTGACCCGGATCCGGCTGACCAACTTTCACCTTGTTGTCAAGATCTACGACATGGGGCAGCTCTAGATCAGGTGGAGGCAACTCCAGGTCATCTATCTCAACATGATCAGCCACACGAGTCCAACTAGAAAAGCTCACATTGCTGACTGAGTCCTCTGGCCGAACGACACGGTTCACCGCGATCGCTTGCTGGCGCAAAAAGGGAGCCATATGCATGTCCGACATGGCTGCGGTAGGAGCTAGCCTAGTTAAACCTTAGTGATCACCCAGGCCCTAGTCAACAGCACCCACCAAGGGCTCACGCGCCCTCAAAAACAGCCAGGGTGATCACCACTCTAGCCAAAATGGCATACGTGTGGTGTATCATGATCATTAGTTACCAAGACACAGCTGAACAGCAGTCCAAGAGTAACTCACCTATACCAGACCTACCTTACCGTCAATAGGTAACCGGCACTTGTTTCTAATAGCTTCTTGTTACTACTAGTAAGGCACTTGTTACTAGAAGCGATGCACTTGTTACTAGTAGCTTCTTGTTTCTAGTAGCTTCTTTGCTCCAGATATCAGTCTATCAGCAATCAATATGTATCTATAATCGACACTGAATCGACACTCACCCCTATTTTCTATAGGAATGCCAGAAAAAACATACCTAATGTAACATGTACAAGGGATTACCCCTCACCCACTCTCTGTGGCTAGAGTCGAGTCGTTAAGCAGTCTAAGTAGACCCCTTCTAAAGCTGACAAATATGGTTCGACTTACCTTTATCAGATTTTATCAGCCAGATGCATCTGCATCTATCAAATCTAAGTTCAATCCGTCATATTCTTGCCCGAGTCGCAATCGTGACCTTCAGCCGCCAGCATGGACCAGCTTCAGGAGGAGCAGGAAAGGACTTCGCATTCGCCATAGGGGTTTACTGAGTAACAAGAAGCTACTAGGAACAAGAAGCTAGTAGTAACAATACACCAAAGTCACCGGGGTTTATATGGACGAGAGATTCGGGCTCGACTATGGCTGATGAGCAGATCGAGGCTCTGTGCAACTTGCTTCACAAGGCTGCTTGACCTTGTGGCATTGTGGGGATGACACCTGTTCTTGTACCTTTTGTATCGCATACTCTTCGTACCCGGAACAAGACTGCGCCAACTGTGCGCTTGAGCCAACCAAAAGTGCAGAGTGACCAGTGAGTTGGTGAGTTGCAAACATTTGAAAGAAGACCTGCCATTGAGTGGCACCATCCCTCCATTGAAAGTGTCATGGAGTTGGCCTCGGGGTTCAGCCTCACTCTTCAGAGAGAGGTACCTGACGGTCAAATATCGTGCATGGTCGTGGTGCATCTGAGGAACACTACCGACAATTGTGACAGGCGAGTCCATCAATCCATTGATGGTTGCTGTGGAATTATTATGTGGAATAAGATTTACAATATTTTACAAGACAAAAAAAGAACTGTGAGAACAGATGCTACTCACGTTCACAAGGTGTTTGGCCTTTTGAGAAGACTAGCATTCGAAATTGACCAATCTCTCACCACTCGCGATGGATATTGGTGCTTGCCAAACAGGAGGACTCGCAACACGCCCGGGCGACACTGCCGGCGACAGCCGGCGACAGCCATGAAACAGTCTCTGATGTCCATTTGCAAAGCCTCTGATGGTCAGGTGAAGATGTTGTTTTGTGCTCTTTGTGTCCATCCGCATCCACACGCAAAAGCATGGAAAGCCTGTGCAGCCACAGGCGAGTTCAAAGGTCACACCCTTTCTCACACTCTTGTGAGCGTCCCATTTGCATGAAGGTTGGTTGCAGGGCTGGTTCTTTCCTGGGTTCCTAGTCAAGTGCTCATTCAGAATAACAACCACATCATAAGTTTGGAGGGCTCATCATACAATAGAACAAAAATGTTCAGAAGGTCACTCTGTAAATGCTTGCCCTTCATGCTAAACCCACTGCAGTGTCAGCGGCCCTTCATTCCGCCTCCACCGGTGAAACTTTCACTGCTTGCTTTGCTTTTCAAGCGCAGTGGCCACAGCAAACTCGAAGCCAGCATCAGAAATATTCACCTTCAGCTCATCGCGTGCACCCTCAAATGGGTGTCTTGATGCTTGAAAGGGATTGACCATCAGACCAGCTGTATTTCTTCCCCTCCACAGATAAACACTGCGGAGAAGAATAATGAAGAAAGTCTGTTCCAACCGATTCTACGCCTTTGCATGAGTGGCTGCTTTATTATTTTCAGTACGAGTTTATATATATATAGAGAGATTCTTTCCTTCTGGTGATGACATAGTTTCGACAGCATTGACCAGGGTCCCCCGCCTTGCCATTGCTACCATCTGCAGGTACTCCACGCGACCATAGGACAGGAGACACAGCCACACCTTTGCAGAGAACTGCATGAGCTAACTTGGGTGATGCAAAATCCTTGGCAGTAGATACATTATACAAGTGGTCCTGAAACGCAGAATGGATCGCACAATTCCATCATGACTCAGCAGAGCCCCTCGAATCAGTTCTGTGCCCAAGTGTACGTAAGAAGAACTATATAAGCTGACACGGAGTGTGGCAGGCACATATATGCACAAACCATTACAAACCCCAAAAGACGAAATCACCACTGGGGCGCCTGTACCACCACTAAGAGCTTCATCACTGCTGGTGATAAAGGCAGGGCCACGAAGATCTGTAATTTGCCCATCCACCTCTCAGCTTCCCTCCCGGTCCAACTGAGTCTGATGCTTCTTCGTTAATTTTAAGGGAATAACTCTGGCGCTCTCCAGATTCAGGGGTCTACCCGATATCTTAAGCAGCCACACAGCGACAAGCAGCAAAAGAGTAAACAAACACTTGAAATGTTCCGAAAGCGATCTGACTGTCACATGTGCCACTCATTGCATATTCCTACACAGCATGAAAATGGATAGTGGAGCTCTGTGCCTCAAAAGACAATTGAAATAAATTTTAGACAATTATATATACACTATATATATATATACTGTATATATTAACTACTGGTACATCACTCCCAATCCCAAAGTGCCTTCGACAGGGCAGTGTATCTTTGCACGATGAACCTGGGGCGCATACAGCATGCGCAACGATACCGCATAATTAGGTGTGTATTTGTGTTTGATCTGTCTCAAAGCAGGTATATACCGTTATATATCCTGCAGTTGCATGTCTTTCTCCTTCCAACATTGGCTGTGGCCTCGCCGTGACAGAAATGCCCATCACAGAATCCCAATGGGAGCTCACCAATCATGTCTATAACCGTCATTGCACCTTGCAATGAAAAACATGGAAAAACCTTCACCACAGTGACTACCATTCCGCCAAAGAACGCTTCCGGCTCGGCCGCCACCAGCGGGCGCGCTGCCAGGAAGTCATTCCTTGGGAGCTTGGCGCCCACCCAAACGGCATTGCCTCAGGAGATGAGGCGGTGAAATTGACATATTTGGAACAGGGATGGGGTGATGGATGGTAGAACAAAACAGAAGCCTACTGTGAAGTCACAACAGTGGTAAACGTGCCCAAGACTTGGCACAAAAGGCTGAGCGACACCAAGCTGCAGTGCACATCCCAGAAACTTAGAACCACCACAGCGTTTCTCTTACACATCCTGTAGCCTCAGAGTCAATGTCGTCATCTACATGCATAGCTTTGTACACGTGTACATAATGTTACTGTATATTATGCTCAAGAACACCGCCCTTTTACCAATTAATTCCGTTAAGTTATGCCCCATTTACGCACGACCCTCATGTAACATCATATGTTGATTGTAAATGGAAATTGCAGCAGGTGTGTTGCGTTAAACTTGCATGGGTGTCATTTCGTGGGAGAAGGCTTGCTCTGAAAAGAGGTTTGGGAAGTGCCTGAAGCACAGAGAATGCACCTGGAAGGATGAGAAAATAGCTTCAGGGGAAGTGTCCATAGCCGGGTAGCTTGGCATTCAAACGGTAGAAAGAGGATGCTTTTGGATGTGCGGGGGTTCCCCAAGAACAACATCATGAGGTATCCAAAACTGATGTGAAATCAAAACTCAATGATCCTTCTTTGCCTAGGTCTTCAGCGCAAAATCCCACAGGAATCTGAAGAATCATGAATCGGCACAACAATCAGCTCGTCTTGTGTCCCAAAAAGGAAACATCGGTTGGAGGCCATCACTCTTAGGTTGGAAGCCATCTCTCCTCGAATCTCTCAGCCTCCACGTCCATCAACTCGCTTCACCACGACATTGGGTTGGTTGCCTGAGGCGTTTGCGCCCTGATGATCCAGGAGTCAGTTGTCAGCTTTCCACAGGACATGACATGCGGTTATTCTGCAGCTTTACTACACAGCTTTATGTGACCTTTGCAGGAAAGGACCCCATCCCACAAAAAAAGTGTTGGTGGCATTCAGCCTTCAATATCTCTTCAAGCAGTTCCCTGCCACAAAGTGTGTATGTTGTGCTGAGCTGGTATGCGGCGCTGAACAAGGACATCTTTGATTGCATTCGCGTCGCTGGGAATGTCGAAGACAGTGTGTAGCAACCTTAGCAAATGGGTAAACCATGGTAAACCATGTAAACTCTGGGTCAATCTTGTCTGGTGAACACCTTGAAAACATGAACCAAATGCTTTTCTCCATATCTTTTCAGTGGATCTTCACCGACAACAACGAGTTTTGGGCGGATCCGCCGAGCCACTGCGGATCCGCCGCGAAGGAGCGTGTGGGGATGGTCTTCAAGATTGGTGCCTGGGCAGGGTGAGGCACCATGTCAATGTGCGGCCAGGTGGCCAACACAGGTGGTCAACGTCGTGTCTGGTTCTTTCATGTTCAATGGATATGTACTGTATCATTGTGTGATTTTGAAACAAGGGCCATCATTGTTCTTTCATGTCATGGGGCCATCATTGGGTGATGTTGACGGTCCAAATGGTACAGCAATGGATACGGTCCATGGTTTACCGTTCAGGAACTTTCTCCTGACAACGGCATCTTGATCCCTGCCTCTCCAAGATAGTGTTGAATCAGCTTGTCCATATAGGCACAAAGCTCCTGGCCAGAAGCCGAACAGCTGTGTAGCCAATTCTGGATACTGGTCGCTCAAATATGCATTTGAGCCCATACACGCAATGCATGATATGTTTACTAGTAAAACATGCATATCCAACATCACAACTATGAATGGCAACTTCTAAGTGACTCTAGAAAGGATTGAACGTCGCAAAATCTGAGTCAGCACTTCTTAAACACAGTTTACACATTCAACAAGGTGTAGTCCACTAAGGAGCACGAACAAAATTTGCAGACAGCGGCCTTGTCCTCCACAAGAATTAGCCCAGGGCCGTTGGCCACCTGCAGCAGCGGGATAGCTGCCAGTAGTTTTTTGTTACTAGTAGCGATGCACTTGCTACTAGTAGCGATGCACATCTATCACAACCAATTGCACACAAACTCCGCACCGCAAGCGCCCTTCCACATGCTCTAGGCCAGGTGAGGTTTGTGAGAGAATGAGGTGAAAAGTTTGAGAACATGATAAATGGACATGAACTTCATGAACTATTGATGGACAGCCAAACCTCCAACCGTGAACCTCATCTATCATCCATTGAACGTGCCATAAAAGCATGCTCACTCATTTCAGCAACGCCTTCACCTTGCCTTTGTAGTATGCTTCCAAAAGGCCAGGGACCTTGGACTTTGACTGCAGGAATTGTGGAGAGTCGGTTGGGTTGCTACTCTTCCACACGTGTTCGTCAGTTTGCGTGGCGAGATTTCAAGCAGCTGCCCCAAGGATGCAAGATTGCCTTCATTGCTGGCGCACTCTTTTTCATACAAAGCTGCTCCTGCCCCTGCCATCAATCATTTCTTTGCGTCCAATCAAACACTGTACTTTACCCATCATGCTGTATCAAGCAGGACAGCTAGTGCATAGTCGCAATGTTAACCTCACTTCATCTGAGTTTCCGGAATCAATTCCCACATGCCTTATAACAAGAACAGTACTGAGTGCTTAAATATCTGTCGCCGCTTGGCCTAATCCGCCGGCCTGCCGGCGTGTCTTGTGGATCTTATACTAAAGTATAAAGCTGTTCATCGTTTAGATTGCTCCTCTGCGCGGATTTTTGCCTCCCCCCCCACGTTGTTGTCTTCATGGTCGCCTTCGTCGCCCTCGTCGTTTTGCATGCACGTCGCCTGTGTTTTGCATGCACTTCACAGCGCTTTGCCATAGTGTTGATTTTGCCCGCGGTTTGCACCAACCACTACGTGGACCCAACATCGGCTTACACCACCCTGTACACCAAACCAAGGTTTACACCAACCACCGTTCACACCACACCACGGTTTACACCAACCACCGTTTACAGATTACACCAAACCACGGTTTACACCAACCACCGCTACACCAATCCACCGTTTACACCAACCACTCTTTACACCAACCACCCCTTGCACCAAGCCAAGGTTTACACCAACCACAGTTTACACCACACCACCGTTTACGCCAGCCACCGTTTACACCAAACCACGGTTTACACCAACCACCGTTTACACCAAAACACGGTTTACACCCACCACCGTTCTCTAGAAGTCTTCTTGTAAAGCCTAAGGCCTCACAAAACAAATCTAAGTGGGCAACCCGTTGCATCCCCTGGCCGTTTCTCTGCGATGCGTCTCCCACCCTTGAGGCAAGCTCCCTTGCTTTGGCTTTGCTGGCTACATGTTGCTCATTTGCTTTTCCCTTCTCCACCGGCTGGAGTCAATTTATGGCTTGCTCTAGGGCCAGCCCTTGCCCTTGCTTTGCTTTGTGTCTTCCCCTGCCTTCTATCTCGCTCCCCTTCTCATTTTTTTGGCTCACAACGCGTTGCTCCTCTGCACACATGCTGCAGCATTCAGCCGTGGAGGCCGGCGGCACACGCCAGCGGTGGTTAAATATCTCATCGACTAAGCCCCAAACGCCTTGTTTGCCTTCCATCAGGCGCTGCCAGCCCTCTTTGTCGTCCGCTCGCAGCATGCGAAAGAGCTGGTTTTCTGGGCGCATTTAGTGCGGCTGCGATGGTCTTGAAATGCAATTGAGCAACTAACACATGCGGTACACATCTATCTTCGCATATTCAACCACCGAATGTTGCATTGGTGGTGTGAAGAGCAAACAAAGTTACTATGGTATTTGTAAATTGTCCTGGTAAAGCTGTATGGTCCAGTTCTGTTTCTAATATTTCACACATGTTCACAAAATGTTCAACGTCCATTTATAACTTAAGTTGCATCGTCAAGGGGTATCGGTGCTGGGTGGTCCCATATGGGTTCTTAACATCTTGCACTGCACGCCCCATCACGCAATTCAACGACTATTGATTCATAATGAATGATTCATATTATTGGTTCCCACGTGCTCATTTGCCTTGAATATCCTTGAAGAATCATTGTGAAAACAATTCCAAAAGCCCCTCTGCATTCGCTGGTCATAGGTCCACTGAACATGACGTGCTCTGACACTGGAGCATCAGGCTCAAGTTGTGCAAAATCACAGGGCGCCTTGGACGTTTTATTTCTGGTACGAGCCAAATTGAGATGCCATACTGAAACGAACAGTGCAAAATGCAAAAAGGATCAAAACGGAAAGAGCGCCGTGGCTCTTTCAACTGACTTGTTGCAAACAAGCATGGATGACGTGTCCCTACATTCATGCTGCATGCACCTCACTGTGGTCACTAAACTTTGCACATCAGCTACCTACTCCACAGCTGCACTGTGTGTGTGTTAAGCCCTCCACCCACCCACATCACACCCGTCTCCTCCAATCTCCAGCAACCCACTCTTCGGCCCGTTCCAGGGCCCGTTCGGCCCGTTCGGCCCAGACACGCGCCGTCTTCCCATCCGCCACCACGCCGCCCAGCTGCTCTACGGCCTCCCGCAGCTCCTTGGCTGCCAGGTGAGCTCGCTGTGCCTCGGAAGGCACGGCGAAAGCATGCGAAAGCGGTGGGGTATCGTGGTGCTGGTGTTTTTCGGGGCCGGTTTTGGGGAGATGGTTGAGGAGACGTGTAAATGGTAAAAAGAAGTCTGTAGTTTGGTTGCCTGACATGCCATTGATGGATCAAAGGTCTTCGGATCAGTGTAGGCACCGTCCAAACAGACCCTTCTGCATCTTACTTCACATCACTCACTACACACCCTCAACAGGATTCTGCATTTGACAGCAAGTTCCTGTGGTGCTTTGTCCACATCCGCCATCTCAGGATGCAACCTCAATGGGCAGGTTGCTGAGTTCCCATTGCTGTTCCAACTTCTTCAAGCCTGGCAACAAATGGCACTGAGGCTGGATCTGCCAGATATCAATCATTGACCTGTTGAAAGATACGACCAGTACCTCAAAGCCACCAAGGCTAACTAGGTGTTGGCATATTCATGAAAAGATCGAGTCATTTCACAATTCCCAGCTTCTGATCTAAAATCTAGAATCTAGAAGGGAGCCAAGTTCGCAAAAGTCGAAACAAATGCAGTGTGCCGTTCCGAGCTCTTCCTGCCCACTCAAACAAGTAATGGGCACCAGGGAAACCAAACGCAAACCCGTCGTGCGGGTCGATGAGAGACCACAGCAGACTGCCAAACCCTGACTGAGGGCCTTCGGCGTCCGGCTTGTAGTGATAAGAATCACCAAAAGTCAACTTGCCAGTGGCCACATTGTAGCGGATCCTTTTGGGTGAGGTCGCAAACAAGAAAAATATAGAACCCCTTGCTACGCCCCAGCCTTCAACATGGCCAAGATTGGGGACAAGAATAAGTTCTCCAGGGTGATGTCACCTTCCTTTAAAAACATTTTAGAAAAGAAACCAACATTCACTCGTCTTCCTTTAAAAAGCATCGGACCTTCACCATGCATTTGTTCACTGCTCCAACCCAAGGAAGGACTGACAATTGGGAACCACATGGGGCACCAAACAAAACTACTGAAATGCGCTCAAATGAACGCAGGCAAGCATCGGTCCATGAACTCGTTCACTCTCTTTGGTCCCTTTCTCTGTCCAGGTCCAGATCAACTTGCCACCCTTCATCTGAAGAGAGCCTGAGATGCGCAGCCTGTCCCTTTTTTCCAAAAGTGACCAGTGCTTCAAGCAAGTGGTGCACAGTCCAAAAGTGTCCAAAACTTCTCGGTAGGGATCTTACACTAATAGACCAATAAACCACCTCACCACCTCAGCCTCCGTTTCTTTTAGTCCAACCAATCCAACCTTGCAAGATTATAGAACCTAATGCCAAGAGTCCAAGAGTGTTGAGGCTTCCTGGCAACAATTTGGGCAAGTAGCTCTTGTTCCCTTCGGTGTCCAAGAAGTCGACTTTGCTCTTGACTGAGACCACGGACTTTTCATTCCTCGCCGCCTTCATTTTCTCTTTGGTCTCCATATCCTGGGAGAGGCGTCAAACAAAGCAGCCAGCACGCTGCCAACTTTCTTTTCCCCGTTCTTGGGGGAGCCTTGTGCATCCAATAGCAAACAACATCTCCAAAAAGGCCAGAAAGTAAAGGCTGATGCTGGTTGTGTCAAATAGAAAGCACAGCATACCTTGCACCATTGGGGTCCAGTCCAAAGTGCAAAAAGGCTGACACAGCGCTGCAAAAGTGCTGACCCTACCCAAATCCTGACGAATTCTTGATGGTTCTTGCTTCGCTCTCACGGGCGATGAGCTCGAGCAACCACGCAGTGCCGGCCTCATAGGCTTCAATGCGGGCGCGTGCCTCGTCGATGGCGGAGCGGAGCTTGGTGCCTGTGAGACAAGGACGTGCACAAGTGGTTATGGCCCTTTCCGCATCTTTTTTGGTATTCTTATAGGGTCGGATCTACTTTCACCTGCTTGGATGGACACACGATTCCATATCGATGTATCTGTTCAATGTACCACAAGCGTGTGTGGAGGGTTGAAACCAAGAGAAACTCCCAAAGTAACAAGGGGAAGTCCAAAGGAAGCTGAAAAGAAAGGTCCCCATTAAATGTCAGAAATTCACTACTATCTGTTCACAGGAGATGCTTCGGTATTTTTTTTGGTGATTGCTGGATGAACATTGATGTGAGGATGAGTTTAATTGACAAGTCCCCTCAAAGAACTGGTGAACGCCCTGGTGGATGTGATCTCACTATAGTCTGAAGGTATATTAAAGAGCCCACAGAAATCGGCTGAAGAAACAAAGCACATCGGTCCAGCTTTGCCGTCTAGCTGCTGGCATGGCCCGGCTGTACATCCGTAGGCTCTGAGAGCAACACCACGAGGCCAACTGGCTCTGAGGTCTCAGCTGCCTGATCTGTGGAGACTGTGGGAGACATTGCCTTAAACAAAATCTCACTCAACGGGGCATATCATTTGCAACAGTTGGAAAAATCGAGCCCCTACGGGGTGATGTATCAAAGACTTGAACCCCAATCATGCAATGCCTCAAGAAATAGTGAGGCTTCCCTGCATTGACAAAATTCTACTGTACATCTTTCTTCCTATGTACTTTTGAAAGCAAAATGGTGCTGTGATGACTCACGGAGGACTAGTAGCAAGAAAGGCTATTAGGTGGAGGCCATCGCAAGTAAGTTGGAGGCCATTGCTACTAGTAACAAGAAGCTACTAGGAACAAAGGGCATCGCTACTAAGGAGCAAGGACGCTACTAGTAGCTCCTGGCATCGCTACTAGTAACAAGAAGCTATTGAGTTTGCAGCCGCGGCCATCGTCCACCACCGCCCGCCTTAGCTCCCCGCGCGGGAGAGGCCTGTCGCTTGGGGCTCCGGCTCCGGTCTGGGGTCCGTTGCTCGCCTCGGCCGGGAAACGACGTTTCGACATCGAAAGCCTGGTCGCCTGGAATTGTTCAGGAGCGTTCTTGATTAAATAGTCACAAGAAGCTACTAGTAGCTCCTGGCACTACTACTAGGAACAAGAAGCTACTAGTAACAAGGGCATCACTACTAGTAGCAAGAAGAGCATTACTACTAGTAACCTGGAACCTTGTTATATAAGATTAAATGCTGAGTTATTTTGTAGTACGAGGGGTAATTAGTCACCTTCATTGACTTAGGCAAGCCATATGGGTCAAGTAAGTCCACCCAGAAGCAGTACCCATTAGTCTATTTGTGCCAGTGCAAAGATTCTACAAAACTACAAGCACAATGAACATCATTCAACAACCGTTACAATCTGCAACGCACCCATTTGCAGAGTTTGGGCTTTACAGACCAGCCACTCTTCTTCTCGGTGATGAAGACCTTGCCATGACGAACAACCAGCCTGCAGAGTCCAGGTCAATCAAAGCCCAACAGACCCCTCCTTGCGCAAATCCTTCTCTGTCACTTGTGTGGAACCCGTGTCAGTGGCTTGACCTTTCCACCCCCCTCCTCCACCAAGGACCAATGCCTTGGCTGGTCTTCTCTGGGGCCCTTCTCATCTGGCAATTGGACAGGAACCAATCCTGCATCGAAAAGAGCTCGTCGTCTTCTCGAAACAAGTGTAGCAACCGTGCCCAAAGAGGAAAGGAAAGAAGGTCCACCCAACGAAAACATGCTAAAATGAATGAGAAAATATCAGTTCTAATTGCTATAGAACTTACATCGATACCTGATGCCTGTATTGGCTCCGTGATGAATACGGAGGTCTTTTCTGCTATAGTTGCGTTCACACAAGTTTTGGCGAGATCTTGAGCTGCCAAAAGGTCGGAGGCGTGTGTTTGCTTTGGCTCTGAAAAACTAGGCAATGCAAAGTTGCCTTGGTCATTGCAGTGTTCGCTTCGACTGAGAGAGTCTGGTGAGAGGCGAGATTGGCTTTGACCATTTTAGCACTTCAAAAAATACTAGTGGCGCTGTGTGGTGCTTGCGGTGTCACCGTACCTGACCGTCCCTTATCATTTGCTCAAGGTAGCCACAGGATCAAGGCTCCATGCCACATCAACTCCTCCAGCAGTCCTTTCTGTCGGAGCAAGGTGACTAATCTTCGATCTTCATTGTCGTCCCGAACAGAGCGGTGGTAGTAGAGCACCACAACCTGAGAATCCAGCTGCCAAGGCTTTGGGTACGCGGTCATATTTTTTGGAAAGGTGGATTCGAACACTTTTGAAGTGAGCTCCGCAGGCCAAGGCTGGCCAAGGCCTCCAATATGGGCTGGTCAAACTGCTCTTTCATTCAGCAAGTTGTGGAAGGGATTCTTGGTGATGATGCAGACCTTCTGAGTATTTCTTTTGTTATGCGGACTAGCACTTGGAATTGAGCACAACAACACAGGCAAAAAGTTTGAAGGGAATATGATCCAAATATGCATATATATATATATGTTTAATTCATTTATTCATATTATATAGATAATGTATATCTATATTATATAATTATGTATAGATTCTCTATGATTCTCTGCCAAACCTTTCTATCAATCAAACTGATGTAGATCAAGCATGATCCAACCGATAAGTCCTGGGACTCTCTTAAGCCCACGGCTCCAACGTTACACCTATCGCTCCAGGAGCCCGACCCCGACGGTCCCGACGACGCTCGGGCGGCCGCGAACGAGCCTTCTCGCCCTCAGCCACCTGGCTCTTGTAGTGCGCCGCCATCTCCTCATAGAGCCTCGCAAGGTGGAGCACGGGAAGCCGAGGGAGCCGAAGGGGTGGATCTCTCAGAAAGGAAAAGGAATAGCAAACCCACCTGGGCCACCCTGAGTCAAACCAAGCTCACCAAAATAGGAGCAATCGGCCCCTAGTAGACCAGGTAATTCTGGAGATCACTCAATACTGGATGGAGCCTGACTGAACTCCCTGTTCTTTTGTCCTCGCCTTCTTAGATAAAATATCGTTCAAAAAAAGTACAAGATCTGGCCATGACGAAAGGAGGTCACTGCTCAAGCTGTCGATCCTCGACTGCGAAGCAACTGCTTAGCGAAGCTATGTGCCGCTGAGCTGTTCGTGCCGTCGACGGATGCCGCGCTCCTAGGACCCAACAAGATGTCGAAGAAACAAACAAACATTGCCCACTTTCATGAGACGTCAAAGCTGGAAGTATGAGAAGTCCAGGAATCTTGCCAACAGATCCTATGGAAATCCAGCGAAAGCAAGATTGTACAAAATCTCGGAATCTCTCTTTCAATTGTGCACGGATCCCAGTCTCCTGAATTCCATCCAAGGGCGGTTGACGTCGAGGCTTCTCTGGGCGCAATCCTTTCAAATGCAGCCAAACCTTCAGAGCATCAGGGAATCGCTTCAAAGAAGCCTCAGCTGCGATGACTCGGCTTTGACCTGGTAGCTGGATTGTCATCTTCTTCATGACTTTGGGTTGGATTGACGGATTGCGTAGAGCGCTCTCTGCGAACCTCGTTGCGCTTGATCTAACCCTTTCCCACTCTGTAGGCTTCACAAGCTTGCGCAAGCTGGGCATGCTGGATTGTAGGGCCGAGGCAAGATCAGCTGGTTCATCACAACGTAAGAATCTCAAGTGTGCCTCTTGCACATCCTGAAGTTCAGTGTTCACATCCACAAGCAAGGTCATTTCCTGCAGTTCAGGACAAGTATGACTGTTAGAGTTGGAATATTCAGTGCTGCCAGAGATTGTCGAAGGGTCTCCACACTGAAAGGGCCTCTTCTGGTCGCCTTGCCCCTTCAGCTCCAAAGGCACTGTGCCTTCCGCTTGAGGAAAAGGCCGGGACTCCGGATCCTCTTTAAAGGCGATGAGGTGATACGGGTCCTTGGCACCAAAGAGCCGCACAGGTACGTGGTAGATATCAGCAGCAACGCCAATCCCTGCAGATCCCCGGAAGGCCACTCGGGAGCAGAAAGGAGGCGCAACATCTGCACTTTCTGGCATACCAAACGCCTGCGTGGATGACTCGATGAATTCAGCAAAGCGGTCTTGTTCCTCATCAGCCAGGAGATGTTTAAAACTCCTGCCTTTGAGGTTCACGTCAGTTAAAATCAAATGCTTCAGGCACTCACTTTCCTGTGCCACATTCATGTGACTGTCCAAAAGAACTTCTCCGTCACACGCACCTTTCAAAACCCTTCGGAAGCTGGACACCAAGGACTCGGCATCAGTTGTGTCCAACTGCGCATAAATGCGCGATCTCAGTGCAATGTTGATGAACACCGAGGAGGCCACAATAATCAACAAAACAAAGAGATGGCTGACGCAAAAAACTCCAAAATCCGTGGCAAATCCTTCGCAGGTATAGACTTGGATAAGCATTCCTGCTCCTGTGTATAGTATTTGGAAAGGAATGCATACCCATGGGTCCAAATAGTACAAAACAAGCAAGAAGCGAACAGCAGTCAAGAAAGCTTGCAACAAACCAAATTTGAATGCGCTGCCAGCAGCTGGTACCATAATCAAGGAAAGCCCCATGATATGCATTAGCCAGGTCGAGTGCTTTAGCAGCTCAGGAGTGACGGCAATCCAATCTTTGCTGACCAGCAAGTGCTGCATATAACAAACAGCGCTCACGATGAGGAAGGTGGCGTTGTCAAGCCCAGGTGCTGCAGCCGTGGCATAGAAGAAGTAGCAGCACAGAACAAAGGCAACGTGGAGCAAGTAGCGGCTAAAGAAGCGGAAGTTCCTCTGCCGAAGTTTGATCATCTCTTTCTCGACATGGGTTTTCTTGATATCATCCTGATCAGGGTTATTATGTGAGGGGTTATCGTTTAAGGTCACGCACACTAGAGGACTAGGATTCGGATTGCCTACCGGGGACGAGGGGAAACAAAAGTGCCTGGGGGGGTACGAGCGAGGTGTTCGCTTGGAACGTGCCTTGCAAGCGCGCTACCACGCAGTTCCAAACAACCTGCCAAACCAACCTGCCTTAGGCAAGCTGTCTGGCGCCGCGTTTGAGCGGCGGCATTACGCAGCCGGAGGGTTGCAGCAAAAGAGAATCTGAATTTCTGAACGAAAAAGCCGTCTTACAGCTGACGTTGGGTCCCCGGAATTCAGGTAGAGGCTAAGCAGCCCAAAAGCATTAAAAATGCAAAAACGATTTTAAAAAAAAACTACTACCTTGAAATACACGTATTTTGTATGGTTCTACGTTTTAACTGGCCCTGGTTCCCAAACGACATACTCAGATGAAGGTTTTTTGTATTTTCTGTAGTTTTGCACTTGTCTGTATTTTTTTGTACTTTGTATTTTTTGTGTTTTCTTGTTTTTGCGGGCCGTATGTGTTTGTATTTTTCTGTTATTTTCGAAAAAACAAACGAGAAACAGGTCGTAATTCGTTCGCGCCTTAAAATGTTCAGCCTCGAACTGGGAACCAACAAAACCCACAGGCCAATCTTTTTTACAACCAGCGAAACGTGGTCAGGCTACCCCACAACCATGAGAGCCTGCTCCACAAAACGAGCCGGCTTCCCATCCCGCCCATATCAATGCGTATCAAGTGACAATTTCTTTGAATATTCTTTGCAGTTAAGAATGGCTTAAAAGGTTGTATAAATGAAAAATACACAGGTCAAAAGTGTATTGGGTAAAAATGCAACTGGGGAATTTGCATTTCCCAGTCGAATTTTTCTTTATTCCCGAGAGCGCCTGCGAAGGGTTCTTCGTAAAGAAACATCTGCAGAACTACACCTCCTCTACATCTTCACATCTTCACCTCTGCACAATCACGTTCTCACCTATATCTCTGCTCATCTTCACGTCTGCACATCTACATCTCTGCTCATCTTCACATCCTCGCATCTGCATCTCAGCTCATCTTCATCTTCACACATCTACATCTCTGCTCATCTTTATCTTCACACATCTACATCTCTGCTCATCTTCACATCTGCACATCTACATCTCTGCTCATCTTCACATCCTCGCATCTACATCTCAGCTCATCTTCATCTTCACACATCTACATCTCTGCTCAAGTTCACATCTGCACATCTACATCTCTGCTCATCTTCACATCCTCACATCTACATCTCACGTCTTCACCTCTCGCTCTTCTTAACTTTCTCTCTTAAGGCCGGGGGCAGTGCCGCCGGACCGCCACGAAACGCAACCTTCTGCGGAGATCGTGCGCGTCGAGTGCGCGAAATGCAAGCGAGAGTGCGATGTGTCCCGGTCCGGAGCAACCAACTGTTCTGTGAAAGAGCATCTTCTATCACATGGGGAACTCCTCGGTGAAGCTGCAGTTACTGCCACGAAAGTGCTGTCAACCCTTGTTGAGGGAGTGGATGCTCTCAATAAGACTCAGGAGGAAACCAATGGGCTTCTTCGAGAACTTGTCGAAGGGCAGAAATTGGCTTTAGAAAAGGCCACCCGCTGCGGAGATCGTGCGTGTCGGATGCGCGAAATGCAGGCGAGAGTGCGATTTGTCCCGGATTGCGGGCAACCCTCTGCGGAGATCGCGCGCGTCGAATGCGCGAAATGCAGGCGAGACTGCGATTCCGGAGCAACCCTGATCGCGCGCGTCGGACGCGCCAAATGCAGGCGAGAGTGCGATTTGTCCCGGTCGCGGGACCCTCTGCGGAGATCGCGCGCGTCGAATGCGCGAAACGCAGGCGAGAGTGCGATTTGGTTTTGTCCGGCGCAACCCTCTGCGGAGATCGCGCGTGTCGACTTTGTAGTACAACTTTAGTGCGCGGAGCAATCTGTGGAGCTGGAAGCTGAGAACTGGCGACTTTGTAGTGCAACTTGAGTGCGCGGAGTACCTGGGGAGCTGGAAGATGAGAACTGGCGACTTTCTGGTACGACTTTAGTACGCGGAGTATCTGGGGAGCTGGAAGATGAGAAGCTGGAAGATGCGAAGCGGCGACTTTGTAGTACAACTTTAGTACGCGGAGCAATCTGTGGAGCGGGTGGGGAGCTGGAAGATGAGAACTGGCGACTTTCTAGTACAACTTTAGTACGCGGAGTATCTGGGTAGCTGGAAGATGAGAACTGGCGACTTTGTAGTACAACTGTAGTACCCGGAGCAACCTGTGGAGCTGGAAGCTGAGAACTGGCGACTTTGTAGTACAACTTTAGTACGCGGAGTATCTGGCGAGCTGGAAGATGAGAAATGGCGACTTTGTAGTACAACTTTAGTACGTGGAGCAAGCTGTGGAGCTGGAAGCTGAGAACTGGCGACTTTGTAGTACAACTTTAGTACGCGGATGAGTCATCTCTCGCGGCTGCTCTGGCGCCCCTGCAGCTGAGTCATGTCTCCTGACCACCCGGCTCTCTTGAGAGGTTGACAAATTTTGGCTACTTTGCTTACTCATAAGTGGCTGCCACAAAAGAGTCATCGTGACGTTTGTATGTGTGTACTTCACCTTCATGACAAACGATGTTCGCTTGGAATACGCGAGTCGCTTGTCATGATCGTGACGTCGTTTACTCTCAGGTCGCCCTGTTCGTGGAAACTTCAGTGTGAATTGTACGTTCTTCAGTTCTGTTTGAACCTCTTCAGCGTTGTACTTGCACAACTAAGGTTGACGTTGCACTGCCGTTGCATCGACGCATCTACGTCTACACCCCCTCACCTCTCTACATTTACATCTTCACACGCTCACATCCGCAGATCTACCTCTCCACCTCACCACACCCACACATCTGCACATCTATATCACATCTGTACATCCACACTGTCGCTCCTTCACATCTGTCCTGTCTTTCTTTCTTTCTTTCTACATATCTTTTCTCTCGTCTCTGTGCATTTACATCTTCGCACGCTCACATCCACAGGTCTACCTCTCCACCTCTATACATCTACAGATCTATATCGCACCTGCACATCACACTGTCACTCCTTCACATCCACCCTCTCTTTCTCTCTTTCTATACATCTTTTCGACAGTGCTGGACAATTACATGTCTCGCTCTCGGGCCAACCGTCGTCTAGTTTTTCATACTTTTGGTTACTTTAACACCCTCAGCCTGTACCTGGAAGCGGGGAACCAAAGCTCACCGTACATCTCTTCATCCCTTGTTTGCTGTGTATCGTGAAAAATGAAAAAGACCCGACAACCCCACATGTCCAGTTTGAGCAAGAAAGCAAACGGCGAAGGAGTGATAGCAGATGAGAAATGGCAAGATGCGTGAGGATGCGTGCGCGTGGTAGACGAAATGACAATGATGATGGCCAGCGATCATGCTTGCAAGGAATCATTGATATATCTTCATATACGGTCTCCGACAAAGCTAGAGGTCAAAAAATTGCAATTATATGAAAGTATCAAAGTTCCGAACTCAGTGATGAGCCAACAGTTCTATCGCAGAAAGCCATTTCGGAATGGCGACATCAACGTTTTGGTTTGCAAGCACTGGTTTTTGCGTGGGTCGGGCTAATGTGAGTTGAGTTGGGCGAGAAACAATGTGAGTTTAGGTAGTGTGAGTTGAGTTGACTTAATTAAGTTGGTGGAGCGCAGCAAGTCAAAGACCTCCTGCAGAGCCAGAGACAGGGCCAGCGTCTGATTCGATAAACAAGAGGAGGTATGATTCGAGAACCATGAAGCGGCAACCATAACCGCTGACTCGGTACCCGAAACCGCTGGTTCGGTAAACAAAGCTTCAGCAACCAAAAACATTGGGTCGGCAACCAAGGCCCGCTGGTTCGGCAAGCCGATTCGTCAACCAAGAGCGCTAGTTCGGCGCGCTGAAGCTTGGCCAGTCTTTCTCCGGAATCTAAGCGCCGGCAATGACAATCGCCTCAGTGACCTGCAGCTGTCGCTTGTCCAAGCGCTTGTGCCCAATAGCTATGGACACCAAGCCCCAGTTGGCATGGCAGTGCGCAAAGCATACATGCAGAAGACCAAATCCTTTCTGTTCAATAGCTTGTGTTTCTCTCATGTTTTAATCCCGAATACCTATTAAAATCAGAAGCACCACGTCCGAAACCCTAAATTCGGTTTATATGTATTTTTAAATTACCACCCTTTCAAACCGCTACTAAACTACCAACATGGTCGATTTTGGGGGTAGTCGTTTTTTAAAAGTTGTTCCAAAAAAGAAAGTAACTGCCCACCTCTGTCCGCCCTGTCTATCCACCATAACACGCCGCGTTTATACCAGCAGGGTTTCCTTCTCCCAATGGCACGGACTCACGCAAATGCCCTTGCCACTGAGGCCGCGCAAAACTGCATGGCACAGCGACATCACCTTTCGAAAGCTTTATAGTCTATTGAAGAATCCGTATTCTATCTGGAGGTTTTGTGAACTTTTGATACGAATTTAATAAGTGAATTTATATAAAGTTGTCCTGGGTTACTGTTTGGTTTTGAAGCTCTTCCCAGGTTACCCTATTTTGGACCGCCCCGATTTCACTGATTTTAAAAAATGCAGCCAAGTTTTTCTTCATAAGGGGGGACCCCGTGTTTTTTACAGTAATAGGTGGACAGGATTAAAAAGAACCTGGACTGGAACACCTTTGGCACTCTCCTAGCACAGTGATATGCTTTTTTTCGTCTCCGCCGCCTTCTGCACAAAGCTTCCATGTACAGTTGATGGCGTCTGCAAGCTTCTGTGGCGGCTGTTGGCAGCAAGCAAGAGGCAGTGTCCTGGAACTTGTCAGTCAGCTCGTTCTAGCAACTTTTGACCGGTGCGTTGTGGCACATTGGGCATATCTGCTCTTGTTCTTTGCATCTGGCTTGGTGGATCTGCTTCCTGCTGGGCGCAGCTTCGTCAGGGACTTGTCTATACATCAGCTCGGGCTGGGCGGCGAGTGGCGGAAAGTGAGCAACCTGCGCGCTGCGCATAAGCGGTCTCCAGGCAGATGCCACTGGGTCTCTAAAGCATCAGTTGCTCCTTTGTCGGGGTACTGTAAAACAACTTAATGTCTTGTTTTTTGTTGATGGGAATTAGAACGCGACGGCAAAACAGATTTGGGCCCCAATGCACATGGCAGTATATGAGTCTACTCATACGCGCCCTACCTTCTGAAAATCTGTTTTGTCACGCGCGGGCATGTACTTGGACACTTGCTCTGTCAAAAGATGACGCGGCGGGGATCACTTGAAGTACAATAATTTTCTGAAAAGGTCAGCGTCATTTTGTCCATGCCCTTTGTGGGATACTCAGTTCTGTGGAGGTTTCAGTTATCCCAGCAAGAAACCGCGCGAGAACCAAGTGTTGACTACAAAGTAGCTAAGATTTTGCGCGTCCACCTGTCATCGTACCTGGGCCACAGCACCGGAACGCGCAACAACGGCAAAGGCCTGTCCACCAATCTGTTCAGCGAACTGAGGACGGGGATGTCCTCAGCGTTTGTGTCTGAAAAGTGCCCGGCAACCTCAAAGAAGATTCAAAGCACAATGAAGAAATGTGCACACACAGACTCGAAAAATCTTGACAGCCAAGCGTGTGAGTAATCATTGCAGCTTTGGATGGCGAAAGCAAACAAACACGCACCGGTGAAATGGTCGTTGCAGCCCCCGCGGCCGCGTCAGACGAACTTTCAGCTGGCGCACTTACATCTGGACCCCCTTCACTTCCTGGCCTCGCCTGGTTAAACGGAATACGCGTGTCTTCTTCCAGCCAGGTAAACAAAATACCTTAGAAGATTCCAGTCTCCCCGCTCTCCCTGTAGACAGGAGGACAGTGAAATCTTGCTGCATCTGTCTGTCTCTGCTCCCTCTCGCTCTTTCTAGCTTTCTGGGCTTTTCTCCACCCTAGAAGATTCCAGTCTCCTCCGCCGAATTCCATATCTCTCCCTCTCCCTCTCCCTCTCCCCTCTCTCTCTCTCTCTCTCTTCACCACTCTCCACCTCTCCCTTTCTCTCTCTCCCTCTATCGGGCCACGGGAATCGTCACGCAACAAGCAGCAAGCCACATCAAACATGTTTATCCTGGCCATTTTTTCGCCCTCCCCCAAACACACTCCCCCTGCCTTCCATCCCATTCCAGCCATATGCTGCAAACGTCACTTTTTGCACCCCGTTTTGGCCCTGTTGGTTTCTGAATCGTAGTTGCTGAATCGGCTGCTTTATTTGTATCTTTTTACCTGATCCCTTGAAAAACAGTGGAGGGGAGGCGGCCACCGCGGGGAACCAGCACCAACCTGCAGCAGTTGAGTTGGCTAAGTTGAGTTGGTGTGAGAAGGGTGGCGACGGCGGCGGCGGTGGCAGCAGGAGGAGGAGCCGCGGCGGTTTCACAATACAAATTCGGAGAAAAAAGACACCTAGCATGTGGGGAAAAACTGCTGAACAGCTGCATCGGCAACAATCATAGTCTCACGTCTAATGCTTAATGCCCAGGAATTGTTTCACGTTGGCTGATCCCCCCTTTTCTATAAACATATATGGAACGCAAGGGACTGTGTGTTTCAAAAGCAATGTGATCCACAAAGGTTTGGAGGAACTCTTCTTCAGCCATCACCTACATTCGAGGACCGTTCACAAATACGAGGCAGCATTTGGAATCTCCAACACAAGGTCTTAGTCCCACCCAGAGCCTACACCAGCTCAGATTCCCTAGGAACTAAAATGCATCCACCCACCTACGCCCCCAAGCAGACTAGCCTATGCGGGGGACGCTCGTCTCAACCAACGTCCATTAAAAAATGCATTGCTCAAATAGTAAGGTATAAATAACCTCAGCTCTCCTGTGAAACAGGCAACATTGCCGCGAAGACCCAAGCCGGTAGTTCTGCCAGGTCTGCTTTGACCAGGTAGGCGTGCGCGCCAGCCCAAGCAAACAGCACCAGTACCAAGAGCAAAAGGTCCATGGCAACTCGATTCTGATGAAAAGCATTCGCTGTCGAACGGCTCTGTATCTAAACCATAGGGTTTGTAAGCCTTCAAGAAAGTATTGCGTGTCTTTGGAGGAAAATTGCGCTTGCAAGGAAAACTCCTGGTCATTCCTTGGAGGATTGACCCTGCAAATGCAAGCTTTGCAGGTGCCTGGGCTGTACGAGAATAAAAAGAACAAATAAAAGCACTGCTCTGATCCTTCGCATGCTTTCTTGATGGCTTTGCAACTATCATTTCTATTATATATTTTTATAATATATATATATTATAGTTCTCCGCTGTTATTTCTGTGGGATTATTTGGGAGGGTTTTGGGGGCGGCTGGCAGGGGCGGTGTCCGTTTCTGTCACGACGCACCGTGAGGAGTAAATGTCTTCCTGAAAGGTTTCAAGGGATGCCCTTTGACTCCTTTTGATACTCTTGGAAGTTTCAGCCGGTTCGGTTTGGAGCGCAAATCAAGCCTGGCAGAAAGTGTTTTCAGGACGGCGTCTCAGCTTTTTCGAAGTGTGTGAAACGCCGCTGATAAAACATGTCAAGTGATCTCCCTCTGCTATGGCGCAGTACCAAGAGCGCGCTGGGTTGGTGCATTGGAATGTGTCAGGCAAAGCTTGTATAATCACAAAGAATGAAAGGGGTGAGGCACTGGCCAAATGTGTATGGCGACTAGGTTTGTTGGACGTTTCGATCTCTTTCAAATCCGCACATTCCTTGATTTCTAAGGCAGGGCCCACAGGACACGTACAGGAAAGTGCACCTTTCAAGATGCATCGTCGCTGGGAAGGAACAACTTGATAGACTTGTTTTGGGTCATGTCTCATTCTGTCGTGAACACTACTTGGTGCGCGCGGCCTTGCCTTTCTGCGTTTTCGAGCTCCAGGAAAGGCTTGAACTCGGGGAATCCTGCAAGGAACTTTCCCGAGCGTTAATCCGAAACTCACGCAGTGCGACAGAGTCTAGTCAGTCACCCATGTTGATCCAACACACTTAGGGATTAAGAAAACAACAGGGCGACGGTGGCGACAGGTTCAAACACATCAGCCGTTCGTCCAATTCCATAGCCCATTTCTGATAGTGTCATCAGCCAATCAACTGCAAGTTCTTAGCACAACTCTCCTGAGATCTTATCACCGCTCTACCCATTCACATCGCGTCCGGGTCCTTTCGATCCGTTGGTCTCCCCAAGCAAGACGCTCCGCGCCAGCGGCAGATCTCCAAAGCCACCCACATAGCCCAAGTTGTCCTGGTGTAGGTTGGAGGCCATCGCTAGAAGGTTGGAGGCCATCGCTAGTAGGTTGGAGGCCATCGCCAGTAGGTTGGAGGCCATCACTACTAGGTTGGAGGCCATTGCTAGTAGGTTGGAGGCCATTGCTAGAAGGCTGGAGGGCATCGCTAGTAGGTTGGAGGCCATCGCTACTAGATTTGAGGCCATTGCTAGTAGGTTGGAGGCCATCGCTAGAAGGTTGGAGGCCATCGCTACTACGTTGGAGGCCATTGCTAGTAGGTTGGAGGCCATCGCTAGTAGGTTGAGGTTGGAGGCCATAGGTTGGAGGCCATCGCTAGAAGGTTGGAGGCCGTCGCTCGTAGGTTGGAGGCCATCGCTACTAGGTTTCACACCATTGCTAGTAGGTTGGAGGCCATCGCTAGAAGGTTCGCTACTACGTTGGAGGCCATTGCTAGTAGGTTGGAGGCCATCGCCAGTAGGTTTCGCTACTAGGTCTGAGGCCATTGCTATAGTAGGTTGCAGGCCATCGCTAGAAGGTTGGAGGCCATTGCTAGTAGGCTGGAGGCCATCGCTATGGCCATTGCTAGTAGGTTGGAGGCCATCGCTTGAAGGCTGGAGGCCATCGCTAGTAGGTTGGAGGCCATCGTACTAGGAGGCCATCGCTAGAAGGTTGGAGGCCATCGCTACTAGGTTGGAGGCCATTGCTAGTAGGTTGGAGGCCATCGCTAGAAGGCTGGAGGCCATCGCTACCCTGAGCCTCCTAGAACCCTTATTTAGTGGGACCCCTTATTTAAGGAGTCTGACATAGAAAAATTTAAGGAGTCTAGACTGTTAATTTAAGGTGTCTTTTTGAGGTGTCTTATTAAGGTGTCTAGATGTTGTTGTTTTCATAAAATTTTGAAGTGAATCCTTCACAGGGTTCAAAAATCTTTGATGGGATTGAATATTTTTTCGTAGGTTCCAGTAATCCTTGACAGGATTTCCAAAAGGTTTGTGTAAAATCTTAATGCAAAATATCAAGGATTGGGCAACACTGGCCAACACTCCACCTCAAATCCTTGAAAGGATTCCTGGTGTGTCAACTGAGGTGAAAAACTCTCTCCAAAGGATTCCTGAAGTGAATGCACAAATGCCAAACTCTCTCCCCTGAATCTTGAAAGGGTTTGCAAAAAATCCTATCAAAGAGCCTGAAACCCAGGTCGCTGATGTCCTTCAAAGGACAAAGAAAAATTGGATGTGATGTCCTCCAAAGGACAAAGAAAAATTGGATGTGATGTCCTTCAAAGGACAAAGAAAAATTGGATGTGAAGTCCTCCAAAGGACAAAGAAAAATTGGATGTGATGTTTTGCAAAGGACAAAGAAAAATTGGATGTGATGTCCTCCAAAGGACAAAGAAAAATTGGATGTGATGTCCTCCAAAGGGCAATTGTTCTTTTTCTCTCACCATGCACATTACAGGACTGCATTAGAAGTAAGCTTGCATGTAGCCCAAGAAGGCAGGCAGAACAACATGTTCCTTCCAGAAGCATATTGAAGAAGACACGTGCTCTCTGAGCTATATCCAAGTCATGGAATTCTATGGACAAACTCAGGCCCCCCTCCACTCAGGTCATAAATGACTTGAGGCGCTTGCGCAAAGCTTTCAGGCCATCCAAGTGCATGGAGCCATTGTTGGTGTCACCCTCCAAGGCCTTCTTCAAAGTGGAGCAGTCTGCCTTGTCGCTGGAGACCGACATATCCTTTCCCTGAGCCAAGTTGGTCCTCAAGGAAGTCAGCACTGCCTCGGCTTTGCCCAGAGCATCTGACACACTCTTCAAAAAACTCTTTGGACTCTGGCTTGCCTCTGGCCTCCAAGTCTTTTTGACAGGCGGCGCATTCAAAGACTTGTTTTTCAAGTCTGCCCTTCGGAGCAGCTGCAATTTGAACTTGTGAGTTCAGCTGCACCCAGTTTGGGTTCTCAAGTTTCACTTTGGTATCACTGCTGGACGCCGAATTGCCAATCGCCTTTTGCATGGTGGCCATGCCAAGGTTGGTGCCCAGCTTCATGGTCTGGTCGACTTTGTTTTTGTCCTCTTGGACATGTTTCTGCTTGCTGTACCAGTACTTGGAAAGCTCAGGCGGAGCATGCGCCTTGGTACACTCATCCGGTTTGTCAATGCCACATTCATCCCAGCACTCCTTGAGAAGAGCTGCCAACATCTTGTCTCTCTTCTTTTCTTCAGTTTGTTCCCAGGAGCAACCATTCAAAGTAAAGATTTGCCCTGGAGTCATCCAACCGCTCTCAGCCACATCCTTCTGCTCAGTGGTGTCAGTCACTGTCTCAAAGTACCCATTGACCCACTGAAGGTTCTTCAAGCCACCCTCAGTCTTGTAGCGCTCAAGCAAATCCTTCTTGTCCTCCATGGTCATCTGGCTGTAGGCCTGGCAGGGGCACTCTGCCATTTGAACCATTTGAAAGGGGTCAGATCTGTGAAAATGGAAAGAATAGATTTGGTTTTGTGAACCCCCACCTCAAGGATCTTACCTGCCTCTGTTTCACCTTTCTTATCCCTTCTGTACTTCAAGCCATTCAGCATCGCATTGGGATCTTTGCGGGTTGAACCTTCTGGTTCTTGATCTTTCTTTGGCTTTGTGGCAGCAGCCTTTTTGACAGCAGGCTTTTTGGGAGCAGCAGCAGCTTTGGCATCAGTCTTTTTGCCCATGGCTGATGGTTGGATTGAAAACACTAGTCAAGTTGTAGCTTGAAACTGAATAAGCTGAAGTTTTGCGCAGGAAGGTGGGCAAAGAATAGCAGAATAGCACTAATGCCACACAATAATAATAACAATGATTCTTTGATAAAAGGTATCATTCCTTCAAAGGATGCCACGCAACAATTGAGAAACTGCACCAACAGTTTTTACATTGGCTGCAAGACATGAACCTAGTGATTTTTGATAAAGTGCACCATTCCTCCAAAGGATCAATCTACTGTTTAGGTCTGATGCCAAGCTCTCAACTCCTGAGCTGAGCCACCTAACCACCAAAGGTGTCTCAGAAAGGGCAAGTCACATCAACAGCCTTTGACATTAACAGAACTGAAAACATGCTTCTTAGAATCTATTGTTTCTTTGCAGATGTGGATTCCTTCAAAGGATCAATCTACATAATCTACTACTTTGGTGTGATGACAAACTCTACCAAATCCTTCAAATGATTGAGCTCTTGGTTTTCATGGTCAGCTTTTTGAACCTTTCAAAGTATCAACACATCTAGTGTTGAAGTGTAATGCAAAGCTATCAACTCCTGATCTGAGCCACCAAACCTTCGAAGGTTGAGAAGAAGGACTGTGACCTCACCAAGTGCAAATCATCTCTACAACTGTGACAGGGATTGACCACATGACTCCCAACATGATGGCATTGACTATATTCCTTTTAGTGTTCCTTTGAGCTATAATTGAAGACATGATGACATGACATCAGTCTTTCCAAAGGTCTTGAAAAACCTGTGGAAATCATGTGAAAAAGTCATTTTCCACAGCCTGTGAAAAAGTTTTAATTAAAAGGAAAAGTACTTTTTCACAGGCTGTGGAAAAATGACTTTTTCACATGATTTTCACAGGCTTTTTCCCGAAAGCATTGCGAAGGGTTCTTCCGGAAAATCCCTTGAACACTGACACTTCGACACTTACACTTACACACTGACACTTCCACCACATTCGCACTACATACACTGACACTTCGACACTGACACTTACACATACACACTGACACTCGGCAAGCACGCAGTGTAAGTAAGCAAGTGATGGGTACGCAGGCATGCAATGAGCATGCAAGCATGCAATGAGTAGGTACGCAAGCATGCAATGAGCATGCAAGCATGCAATGAGTAGGCAAGTGTGAGTATGGAAAACTAGCACGGGAGATGTCCTAATGAAAAAACATTTCCCCGCTCTATAAATTCTCTCTTAAAGGCGGAGGGCGGGACGAACAGCGTCAACCGAAAGTGCAACCCTCTGCGGAGATCGTGCGTGTCGAGTGCGCGAAATGCAGACGAGAAGCTGAGAACTGGCGACTTTGTAGTACAACTTTAGTACGCGGAGGAGCTGGGGAGCTGGAAGCTGAGAACTGGCGCGGTGGTAGTACAACTGTAGTACGCGGAGTAGCTGGGGAGCGGGAAGATGAGAACTGGCGAGTGGGTAGTACAACTTGAGGGCGCGGAGTACCTGGGGAGCTGGAAGATGAGCACTGGCGACTTTGTAGTACAACTGTAGTACGCGGAGTAGCTGGGGAGCTGGAAGCTGAGAACTGGTGACTTTGTAGTACAACTTTAGTACGCGGAGCAATCTGTGGAGCTGGAAGCTGAGAACTGGCGACTGTGTAGTACAACTTTAGTACGCGGAGGAGCTGTGGAGCTGGAAGATGAGAAGTGGCGACTGGGTAGTACAACTTTAGTACGCAGAGTAGCTGGGGAGTGGGAATATGAGAACTGGTGAGTGGGTAGTAGCTGCGAACTGGCGACTTTGCAGTACAACTGTAGTGCGCGGAGTAGCTGGAGCTGGAAGATGAGAACT